ACAAGCATAAGATTTGATTCTATCTTAAAGAGCTTCAGCATTATGTAGATGATTTATATATCAAACTATTCAGGCCCAATGTATGTTTCAAAATTTAGCATTTTGAGAAAAACCTGATACCACATGTGCATCACAGAAACGTCTATTTGATGTTTGTTTCCATTGAACAGATTTATTTTAATAGCGTTTGCTGTCTATTAGATGTCTAAATTCGGATGTTAAATAAACGTTTAGATTTTGACTTTAGTTTAGAATCATAAAGCAGACCTTTCAAAGACGTTTTTTAGATCTTTGTACACAGCAGATGTTTTATAGATCAAATGCTCTTTACCTGTCAAACTAATCAGGCCCAAAGCATGTCTTTAAATGTTATGCAAAACAAAAGCCTTTCAGAAACATACTACAACAATAATATGAGAGTTCACAGTGCGTTTATTAAATGTTTAATTTGAAAATGGGGGTTGCATATGAGGATTTTTTTACAGTAAATGCAAGCAAGTTCATTCCACTGTGGCAACCCCAGATAAATAAGGAAGTAAGCCGAAGGAAAATTAATGAATGAATGTAGGAAATATTACATAGATAAAGCACATTTGGTCATTTAAATGTAAACTGGCTTCATAGTGCATTAATTGTGCTGTTAATTTGAAAGAGTCTTAAGGATAGACATACTGGAAAAAAGGTCTTTTTCAGTACTTACACAATAGTACAAATCAAAATAGCCTAGAGAAAATGGGTAATTGCAGCAAATTTTCAGTTTTTTAATGGCTCGTGTGATACAGGATGGTGTGGACGGATGTCTGACAAATGGGATTTGAATATAAGTGTGTGTAGACACAGTGGAAGTGATTATGTGGTGATTATAATCAGCATTGTATTGACAAAAGGATCGGACAAGACTTGATTTTATGTTAAAAAGCTTCAGCATTGCGAAGAGGATGTTTATTTAGTGCCACTATAGTGTCAAACTATTCAGGCCCAATGTATCTTTAAAAATATGCCAATAGAAAGCTTTTCACAAATGTACTGTGATAATCCCTGACACCACATTTACATCACAGATGTTTATTGGATGTTTGTTTTGTATACATCGGACAGATTTATTTTTAGAGAGCTTGCTAATATGAAATATCCCTAATAGATGTACAGTCAGATGTCAAATAGACTTTTAGAATGTGTCTTTAAGATGCGTATGATTTAGAAACAAACCTTTCAAAATGTGTAACAGATCTTTGTGCGCAGCAGATGTTTTACAGATCAAATGCTCTTTAAAATACACAGTGCAGACATGTTTGTGCTATATCTATATTTTATAAATGCACATAAGGTAATTTAAGCATTAATGTTTTTAAATGGTTTCATATTGTACTAATACAGGGGTGGCCAACCCTGTTCCTGGAGAGCCACCTTCCTGCAAATTTCAGTTGCTACCCATATCAAACACACCTGAACCAATTAATTAGGACCTGAAAACCACGTGATAATTACAGGCAGGTGTGTTTGATATGGGTTGCAACTGAAATCTGCAGGAATGTGGCTTTCCAGGAACAGGGTTGGCCAACCCTGTACTAATATGTACACCTTTTGGCGATGCGGTGGGGCAGTAGGTAGTGCTGTCGCCTCACAGCAAGAAGGTCACTGGTTCGAGCCTCGGTTCGGTCTGTCGCCGTTTCTGTGGAGTTTGCCTGTTTTCCCACTGTTCGTGTGGGTTTCCTCCGGGTGCTCCGGTTTCCCCCACAGTCCAAACTAAGATAGGTGAATTGAGTAGGCTAAATTGTCTGTAGTGTATGTGTGTGAATGAGTGTGTGTGGATGTTTCCCAGAAATGGGTTGCAGTTGGAAGGGCTTTCGCTTAGTAAAACATATGCTGGATAAGTTGGCAGTTCATTCCGCAGTGGCGACCTTGGAATAATAAAGGGACTAAGCCAACAAGAAAATGAATAAATGAATGAATGTACAGTAAGTTTAAACCATTACCTTTCCTGACAAAAACAGTGTCTATTTTTAACAGTGTGGTGTGACGGGTGTCTGAGAAATGGGATTTAATTAAGAGGGTATGGCACAGTGGTAGTGTTTGTATAGTATAATATATAGTGACAAGAAGTCTGACTAGACATGACATATTTGAATGTGAATAAATCTGATGTTCTGATAAAACGCTCATTCAGCTTCTACATTGTGGAGATGATGTGTCTGCATTTCTTGCTATTTATGTGTCAGACTATTCAGGTCTACCGTATCTTTTAACATTATGTTTAAAGGCTATTAGGAAATGTACTGTGGTGATCGTTTGATGTTTTTTTTTTTTGTTGTTTTTTGTTTTATTTCCCACATTTCATTAAAAACGATGTCTAAAGGGTTGTTTATGTCACGCTGTTTGTGTAAGTAAGTTGTGTATGGCTATTCAGGCCTGAAGTTTTTATTCAATGTTATGCTGAAAATGTTTATTTCGAAAACGAGGCTGCATTTGAGCGTGCACACATATTAAAAGTATGAAAGTTAATAGATAAATTGAGCATTTATACATCAATGTTACCCAATTGACATGCAAATCAAACTTTACAATAAGGTTCCGTTATAGTTATGTTAGTATTAACATGTACGAACATGAACTAACCAATTCTTGTACAGCATTTATTAATTTAAGAAATTACTTTTTATAGTAAAACTAGTATGAAAATAAATATTATTATCTCAAAGGTTTCAAGATGTTGTCTAAAATGTCTGAGAAATAGGACTTGAATATAAGTGTCTGTAGATACCACAGTAGTAAATGTATTCTGATTGTAATCAGTATTGTAAAGCCTACAGTGACAATAGGCATCTGACAAAAAAATAAGAATATATATTATATAATATATAAAATATCTGATTCTGTAAATAAAAGCTCCAGCATTGCTATTTAAGTGTCAAACTATCAGGCCAACCATATCTTTTCAACATACTAAAATAAGCCAATCAGCAATAAGCTAATCAGAAATGTAGGTTAGGCTGCTGTGTTTATGAAATGTCAGTTTGACATTTCCCGCCATGTTCAATTCGAAAATGAGGCTGTATGTGAGGTATTCACGTGTTTTTATTTATGCCATCTTTCTGTCTTTAAGTTAACGTTAAAAACTATGCTGCTACAAATTGTTTTGTTCAGGCAAAAACTGTATTGCATACATAATTTGAAAACGTGGCCTCGTCATAGAAACGTAAAACATACACTAAATTACTTAAAAACGAAACAACTTCATTTAGTTTTGCGTTGAATTAAATAACGCCTGAACTTACCTGTACGATGGTACAACAGCACTGAATCACCAATAGCATATTGTTGGCTCGGTCCAGCTTCAAAATAGTGCCATGGAAATGCCTATGGTGCCTGATTTAAAACGGAAGTGGTCGGTTTTTTTTACTCACCAGAATAATTGGCTAAAATTTTATCATTTATCCAGGAAAGATACATATTCTACTGTTTAACGTTGTAATTGTGGTGTAATGCAGCATTGCTAATGGTCTTTAAAACCGAAGCAATTTTATATTTTAAGTAGTTATTTAAATAACTGATTGTTCGCGAGGCCCTCTAGTGGCATTCTTTCGGCATAATTTGGCCTACTTACCAACGCAGTGTCGCAGTAGGTACTAGGTAGTGCTGTCGCCTCACAGCAAGAAGATCGCTGGTTCGAGCCTCGGCCAGGTCAGTTGGCGTTTCTGTGTGGAGTTCGCATGTTCTCCCTGCGTTTGCGTGGGTTTCCTCGGGGTGCTCCGGTTTCCCCCAGACATGCGATGCAGGTGAATTGGCTAGGTTAAATTGTCCATAGTAAATGAGTGTGTGTGGGTTTCCCAGTGATGGGTTGCGGCTGGAAGGGCATCCGCTGAGTAAAACATATGCTGGATAAGTTGGCGGTTGATTCCGCTGGGCCAACCCCAGATTAAATAAAGGGACTAAGCCGAAAATAAAATAAACGAATGAGGCGAAATAATCGTTTTTCCTTTCTACATAAGATTATTTTGCTTACCCCATTGGCTGATTATTTAGCTTGTTTTAAGAAAAATTTGACATATTATTTCTGAAAACAAGACAATATGTTTTGCTTGTCTAGAAAATGCTTCTTAATTTAAGAATTGCTAGATATTTGGACTAAAAACAAGACAAAAAAATTAAGTAAGAGAAGCATTTTTTGCAGTGTAAAATAAAAACATAAATACAGTGAATAAAAAGTATTTTATTTCTAAAATAGACTGATGGTTGATGATTTCTGTGAGTTGTTCTGTAAAGGAATATGTCATTCATTTGGTTCTCAGATTTTTTTCTTCATTAAAAACACTTTCCAAATGTACAGACCCTGTCATTGTCCTTGTCCTCAGCCCAATTGAACCTAAAGCTTTAATATTTTGTTATGCTAAAAACTGTTATTTACAGAAAAAACTTCAGAAATTGCGAAGTTTAAGTTGTAATCATTTACATCAATTAATTAAAAACAAAGTTATGAATAAATCCTACAAATAAATACTATTTTACAACTGTCTCCGTGTTTCTGCCAGTCCTGTCACATTAAATTTAACATGAAATGTGTGCAAAACATGTTTAAGGCTATGACTCAGAAGGGACATCTTTTGATGGAGGAGAAGCTGTCAGTGATAAAGGATGCGTTCTGTTATTGATTTGTATGTTTTTTATTCTTGTTTATGCATGATTTTTTGAGGACGACAAGCTTAAATCAGACCCTGTCACAGTTTTTATAAGTGAAAATAAGTTTCTGGTAGAGTGTCCACTTACTTTCTTCTGTTGGACAGAAAACAAGATATTTTGAAGAAAGCTGAAAACCTGAAAATATTGACTTCCATATTCTATATTCCATATTCTATGGAAGTCGATGCTTACAAGTTTCCAGCTTTCGACAAAACACCTTTAAAAATAGCTAAAAAAAAAAACTCAAATACTATATTAATAAAACGTTTGGCAGATGATGCCCTTTATCCCAGCATACCTGAATGAATGTATGACAGACTATTCAAAACATACAAACGCACTTCTTTAATTAGTTATTATAAAACAAAGATTGGGATACAGGGTGTCGTGTCAACAAGCATTTAGATGCCTTATATTTTCAAACGCCGCCATCTTGTGGACACTGTAACACACTTCAACTGACAAAAAACTTGAGGACCGACTAACTCAAGCGTAAGTTAAAACACAAGCATAGAAAATAAAATATTGTATAGGTAATACGAGAAATAATGGCAATACATTTTGCATATAATAAAAACAGCATTGGTTTCAAAGTATAAAAGCAGTCCATCCTGAGTGAAAATCATTTACATGAAAATCATTTATGACCAAGTCATTGACACTCTTTGGGGAAAAAGAAAATCACACGTTAACCAAATGAGCTTTGAATTTTGAATGTGGAAATAGCAGAATTTTAAAAGTAAAACACATAATGTATGTTTCCTAAAACATAAAGAGATACACTTTGGTCAAACTTTATATTAAGTGTCCTAAACTACTATGTACTTGCAACAAAAATAAATACAATGTACTTACTCTGTTAATAATGTATTTGAGAACACTTGTGGTGCTCTTGAGTTGGGATAGGTGTATGGTTATGGACAGGTTTGGTGGTATGCGTAGGTTTAAGGGTGGGTTAAGGTGTAAGGAATAGTCAACAGTGTATTTACAAATGTAATTACAGAATTAAATTACAGATGTAATTACATACAGATATTTAAGCGTAAGTAAACAGTAAACACATGTATTTACACAATAAGTACATTGTAACCAATTATTAATTTCTGTACATTACTACATTGAGGACACTTAATATAAAGCGGGACCTAAACGTTTACTCATCCCGTTCTCATCAACCTCAGGTGGTTCGGTTGAACACAAAAAATACACATATTTTGACATATTCTGGAAACCAGTAGCCAATAATTTCCATTTTATTTTTCTTACTATGGAAGTCAATGGCCTCCAGTCTCCAACATTCTTCTGAATATCTTCTTTTGTGTTCAACAGAAAAAAGAAACCAGTAAATGATGAGTAAATGTTCACTTTTTGTATGAACTACCCCTGTAAAACAGGTGATTATCTTATCCAGCCGTTACTGATATCCTGCTGCTTGGGGTTGGGGCTGCTCTTGGTCTCAGGCGGGTCTCTGTTTGGGCCCTGCTGCTGACCGGAGAAGCTGCTCTTCTGCGCCTCTTCTCTCTGCAGATCTGCATATTCATCTGACGGGGGGCAGCTGCTGGACTTGGGCTCTGCTATTGGTGAGTGCTGCAGCATGTGATGGCTGGGGGGCGTGGGGGAGATCATGTGGACGGGAGAGGTGCGCTCTGATTTAATGCTCAAGTTGAGGGAGGGGTGTGACGGGGAGGAGGGGGAGGAGCTTTGGGATGGGTACGAGCAGCTTCCTCCTGATGCCATCCTGTGGATAGTGATGATATTTTGAGCATAATTACTGTATATTTAAGATCATTAAGATCTGTCCATCCATCCATCCATCCATCCATCCATGCTTCTTTCTTTCTTTCTTTCCTCCTCCTTCCTTCATTTCTTCCGTCCTTCCTTCCTTTCTTTCTTTCTTTCTTTCTTTCTTTCTTTCTTTCTTTCTTTCTTTCTTTCTTTCTTTCTGTCTTTCTTTCTTTCTTTCTTTCTTTTTTTCTTACTGTCTTTCTGTCTTTCTTTCTTTCTTTCTTTTTTTCTTACTGTCTTTCTGTCTTTCTTTCTTTCCTTTCTTTCTTTCTTTCTTTCCATCTTTCTTTCTTTTCTTCCTTCCTCCCTCCTTCCTTCATTCCTTCCTTTTCTACTTCCTTCATTCTTTCTTTCATTCTTTCATTCTTTCTTTCTTTCTTTCTTTCTTTCTTTCTTTCTTTCCTCCTCCTTCCTTCATTTCTTCCTTCCTTCCTTCCTTCCTTCCTTTCTTTCTGTCTTTCTTTCTTTCTTTCTTTCTTTCTTTCTTTCTTTCTTTCTTTCTTTCTTTCTTTCTTTCTTTCTTTCTTTCTTTCTTTCTTTCTTTCTTTCTTTCCTCCTCCTTCCTTCCTTCCTTCCTTCCTTTCTTTCTGTCTTTCTTTCTTTCTTTCTTTCTTTCTTTCTTTCTTTCTTTCTTCCTTTCTTTCTGTCTTTCTTTCTTTCTTTCTTTCTTTCTTTCTTTCCTCCTCCTTCCTTCATTCCTTCCTTCCTTCCTTCCTTCCTTCCTCCTTTCCTTCCTTTCTTTCTGTCTTTCTTAATTTCTTTCTTTTTCTTTCTTTCTTTCTTTCTTTCTTTTCTTCCTTCCTCCCTCCTTCCTGCATTCCTTCCTTTTCTACTTCCTTCATTCTTTCATTCATTCATTCATTCTTTCTTTCTTTCTTTCTCTTTCCTCCTCCTTCCTTTCTTTCTTTCTTTCTTTCTTTCTTTCTTTCTTTCTTTCTTTCTTTCTTTCTCCTTCATTTCTTCCTTCCTTCCTTCCTTCCTTCCTTTCTGTCTTTCTTTCTTTCTTTCTTTCTTTTCTTCCTTCCTCCCTCCCTCCTTCCTTCATTCCTTCCTTTTCTACTTTCTTCATTCTTTCCATCTTTCTTTCTTTCTTTTCTTCCTTCCTTCCTCCTCCCTTCCTTCCTTTTCTACTTCCTTCTTTCCATCTTTCCTTCTTTCTTTCCTTCTTTCTTTCTTTCTTTCTTTCTTTCTTTCTTTCTTTCTTTCTTTCTTTCTTTCTTTCTTTCTTTCTTTCTCCTTCCTTCCTTCCTTCCTTCCTTCCTTCCTTCCTTCCTTTCTTTCTTTCTTTCTTTCTTTCTTTCTTTCTTTCTTTCTTTCTTTCTTTCTTTCTTTCTTTCTTTCTTTCCTTTATCTTCCTTCATTCCTTCCTTACTTCATCACTCCTTCCTTCCTTTCTTTCTCTCTTTCTTTCTTTCTTTCTTTCTTTTTTCTTTCTTTCTTTTTTTCTTTCTATCCTTCCATCCATCCATCCATCCATCCATCCATCCATCCATCCATTCATCCATCCATTCATCCATTCTTATGAATATTTTAATATGATATAATATAAAATTATATAATCTAATTATAATACTTCTATTTTTAATTATACAATTATATTATATAATTATTACATTAGAATATTATTGATCATTAACTCATTTTAATACAACTAAGGACAATTTTTATTTATGTTTACATTAATACATTATCAATATATAGTTAATATATTTGCACCAAATTAGATACAAAATAAATAAATATAACTTTTTAAACTTTGATTTACTCTACTTTTCATAACAACTTAAAGTTTCAAATGAGTTCTTCATTTTTGAATAAGATATAAAGTAAATAAAGTAAAACATGGAAAAGTTACATGTTTGCACATTCACTTATAATTGATGAAGTTAAAAAGAAGTTACTAATCAGATACAAAAGTTTTTAGTTGAACATTTTTAAGTTATGACTGTTTTACAAATAAAAATTTAATTGGGTCAAAAATGACCGGGGAATGTAAAAGAAGCATACATTTTCAAGTCAAAATAATATGTTTTTTCTTATATGCGTTCTTATTATATAATCTATGATTGGTTATTATGTGATAAATGGCAAGCAAAACAGTATGTCTCACCCTGGGCTGATCATGGATTGATGGGCATCCTGATGAGTCAAAGGTTGCCAGGTATTCATAGAACTGCGTTGAAAACCCACAGTGTAACCCGGATGGCTGTATTCTAAGATAGAAACTGACTGTTAATGTTTCTCTTAACCACAAAATCACAATTTATAAATGTACTTTTCTATGGAACACTGCAGTATTTATTACAAATGATTTATTGAACATGTTTTAATGAAATAACCTCCAGTCCATCTTTAACAACTTTTTTGTTAATATTTACTCAAGTAAGTGTGGGACAACCTGTCAATACTTTGATCAACCAATCACCCACCACTGCCCCACCCACCCCTGCCCAACATTTTTTCTTGCTTGGAAAGCCAATTTACTTGGATATATATAAAAATCCCATTTGAGCAGAAGAATTTTTGCAACTTGCTTCATTACAGTATTTTGTTCCTCCAAGTCTCACCTGAGGGGCTGTAGTTCAGGCCGTGTCCCAGTAAGCCTGTTTTCCCCATGGCCATCATGTGTCCGCCAGCATGCATGCTCTGATAGAGAGCTCTCTAGATGAAAAACACAAAATATATTTTCATAATGCATTAGTTTGTTAAACTGATATATGAAGATATTATAAGTGATATTATGTACTTGAATTAATTAATATTATAGTGAAACTGATATGATTATATTAATATGATTATAATCAATTATTTTATGAAATGCTAATACTTTGAAATGTCTTAAAAATATGTCAAAATAAGTCGAAAAGAAAATGAATGAAATGAATGAATGAATGACATTTGATAAATTATTAATATAATATAATATAATATAATATAATATAATATAATATAATATAATATAATATAATATAATATAATATAATATAATATAATATAATATAATAATAGTATTCATAAGCATAAATATGAGTAATTGTGTGCTATATAATGACATGCCATTAATCTTTGAACAATAAATTTACATAAACACAATTATTTACAAAAATATGAACAATATCAATATGATTACATTATATAAAATATATACACAAGCTATATTATTTACCAAATTAATAATATCATAATTTATAAGGGTGATGTGACAAAAATGTAAAAACAATAAATTACATTTATTTTCAAATATTAGAATTTGTACAAAATTATCTGGAAATTATTAGTATAAAATGGGCATCACATAAAAATGTAAATTATTAACAATATACTTGATATGACAAATAAAATCATAAATGTGTATATTATGCTATATTACATCCTTTCATAAATGTATAATAATCAATGCAATTTAAGGTTATATTTTACTAAATTTTATAATTTTAAAAGTAGCATGTATTACATTTTTTTCATAAATATATTCATTTATAAAATGATGAAAAAAACATTCATATAATAATTATATTTCAAAAATTATATTAAAATACAATAAACTAATTAAATACATAAAGTAATGTTCAATGGACAAGGTAATATTTAATTTGACTTTATTTTTTGACTGGATTTTTAGTGTGTCAGTAAGTACTTTGGTAGACTCCCTCACAGCATTGGCCAGAGAGCTGCGAGTGCCACACAGTCCGGCGTGGGCTTCGACTCGTCGGCCATCACTGCTCATGTTCAGCGGTGGTGGCGTCTTCATCTCCAGGGCTCGACTAAGACTGCCATGAGGAAACATGGAGTAACCCAGACCTGCACACACACACACACACACACATAAGTTTGTTTTTGTGACTTGTGGGGACTCTACATAGGTTTCCATAGTTTTTATACTGTACAAACTGTATTTTCGGTCACACTTTATGTTGTAGGTCCGTGTGTTGAATTTAAGTTACCTTGCATCTAGATGCCAACTTATTTTCACTAGATTATAAGTAGACTGTTTGGTTGGGGTTAGGGTTAGTGTAAGTTGACATGTACTTGCAAAGTTTCTTATAGTCAGTTAAATGTCTGTTGAAGGAGCAGTATCAACTCATTATAGCACACATGCTGCTGATGATGTGACAATAAAAGTGATTTGATTTGGAAATAAAGTGTTATCTTATTTTCTATTGCCTTAACCCCACCTTACCCCTAAACCCAGCCCTCACAGGAAACTAGACACTTTTATTTTCTAAAAAAAAAACTCATTCTGTGTGATTTATAAGCTTTTTGAGAAATTAGAACATCAGCAATGCCCTCATATTTCACCACCTTCTTGTAATACCTGTGTCACCTATGTCATTATACAGATTTGTGTCTTGAAATGTCACAAAAACATACATACACACACACACACACACACACACACACACACACACACACACACACACACACACACACACACACACACACGAGAAGTGAAAAACAAGATGTGGGTGAAAAGATACTTTCAGTTTCTTTTTCTCAGTGAAAGAAGAAGTTTTCCTCCTATCTAGACTTTACACCTGTATGTAAGATAAGTGTGACATTTTCATTCTTATTATTTCATAAATTATGTCTGACATTACATTTCATGGTCTTCATTGACTTGCAGCTAAACTAGCATAGTACAATGCATTGTTTGGGAAAAGAACGATGTAGTGATGAGTGTTTTCCCAAAATCTGTAGTTTCTCTGTCGCAGACCCTTCATTTGAACCACATTAGTTATAACATAAAGCGTCCATAAAGATGTTCTAAACGGGGTGGTAACATGTCATATACCGCACCAATAAGTAACCTACTATAAATTAAAAGCATTAACGTATGCTATTTTTTTTTTTTTTTGGTTTTCACAAGCTTTGGAGATGTAACGTAAATTTCGCTGATAAATAATATGTCACTTATAGATTTGTTCATAAGCCACGGCTGTGTTTAAAGTGACATAACTGTTTTCAAAGTGCGCTACGAATTGAGTGCAATTGTAAACATGAAGATCGCTGAAACTGAACTGTAAAAATACTTTGAAAGCAAATTACACCTAAGAGTGATAACTTTAATGCTTTTTTTAATCATTCAAAGATTAAATGTCAGAATGTTCAAAATGAATAGGGCTTAGGGGGGATAAATAAGAGTAGAACAAAGCCAGGAACTATGTTTCTAACTACAGCTCCAGAGGTGTCGTTGCAAGCGTAGAAGTTTGAAACGCAGTTTGCGAATGTTTATTGGAACGACAGATTTGGGAAATGCTAGGTCAGCAAACTATGTTTGTAACGGTGGAACTTGCAAACTTAGATAGCTAACGATGGTTTTCTGAAACACACCTCTGACATGTATACGTCATCTTAGAATTATAAGGTTCTATCTGCATTCTGAATGATTGTGAGATATTGAGCTTCAAAGTTTTTGCATTCCATATAGCAAATAGTATCAGTGTAACATTTTTTTTTAAGTCTTAAATGTACACAACCTATAAAAAAACATCCCATAATGTAAATAAGTTGTCTTTTAGTAGGAATATGTCAATAACTCAATTTTGACAAAAATGTCAGACAGAACCCTATAACTTTAAGGTGTTGATATACTTAAAGAGTGTTGAGTTTTTATTATTACAATTTGGTCTCATTTATAGCAGCTTTAAGAACTGTGAAAACATACTTTTACATTTTTCAGAAACTTGGAACATAATTCACTTAATAAATTAATAATAATTCATTTACAATTACATTTTAAACAATTATAAACATTTAACTACTAATTAAAATGATTTCAGTAAATGAATAGTGAAATAAAAATAAGTAAATAAATGCCCTAAAATAAATGTCATGGAGTTAACTTGTAAACAAAGGTTTGGCAGCAGGACTACGCCTCACTTTGCCTCCTTAACCAATCACCTAGAGAACCCACCCTCCTTCCCTCTATTTCCTTGCTTCCCATTAACAAACTTTATAACCCTCTCTTCCCTCTTAGGTTGAACCGGGTGGTCCAATCACTCTACCAAAATATTACAGAGACGGTACCCCTGCTCTGAGTCTGTGGGCATCATTGTAGGATGCCAAATCAACCTACAGTACCTACCTGTTCACTGTTTATCCTCTTACTTTATTCCCCTTCATTCCACTGTTTCCTTACCATCCCTTCCATCCAATAAAGTCTAGCTCAAAGTGTGGCGTGGTCCATGCTGGTGAATTCATAATGTTTGAATGAAAGAATGCCACTTTAAAAAGTACACAAAATAATAATAATAATAATAATAATAATAATAATAATAATAATAATAATAAAGAAACGAGGCAAAGATTTTCTAAAATTAAACCATTTTTTAAAATTATCACTACTTTAATAATCAACACTATTATTATTATTATTATTATTATTTACCATTGTTGTTATTATTATTATTATTGTTGTCATCGTTATGAAGGTAATTATTATCATCAAGGTAAGTGTTGAAAATTTATATTGGCTGAATTTAAACAAACAAAGTTAAACTCAGCTTATATAATTAGTTTGCAACCACTTACCTTTAAAAAATTAGTACATCCAATGAATCGTGTTTTTTTTTTGTCAGTGTACAATATATACTTGTTTCAAAATCCAAACCCATACATTATATGTCATGTGCTTATTGTGCTTTTCTTGTATATGTGTATAATGCTACTGATTGTAGTATGTATTTCATGTACAAGTAGGTTATTTTTAGGTTTGCACTATAATAAAACAAACACTAATCTAAAAACCAAGCGCACGTTCACAAAAGCGTCCACACAGCCGAAAAAAAAAACCAAACTCCTCACATGTTAAACCCCCCGTCCGTCTCCCCCTACATATTGTACTATTTCCCCGGCACGATTAGCGTACACGAAGTGCTGTTAGAAACGCGTGCTGGATTCAGACCACAGGCCGCTTCGAAGCAATACTTCCACGCAGTGCGACTCACAGAGGCCTAATATGGAGACGAAGAGATGCTGCATCAAAAAGTCCAGGTGTGACATTGTGCACAAAAAACCACAACCCTGTCTTCAACTATTCTTTTATATGTGCGTGTGTGTGTGTGTGTGTGTGTGTGCGGGTGCTTGCATGTGTGTGGTTAAAAGAGAGGGGGGGTGTTGTTTCACATATGAGAAATGACATTTCCTGTGCGCAACTATTAAAATACTCCATTTTGGGGAGTGTTGCCCCCCGTGTGATGATGACTATAATATGTGAAAGAGGATAAAGTGCATGACCTACCAAACAGAGTATGGTATTAATGTGATGTATATATCAGAAAAATATGTAACTTTATTTGTTCGCGATTAATGAAATATAAACAGCTTGACCGTGATAAAGTAGGCTACGGCATAACTCCATTTTTAACATTTAGTCTCCAGATTCGGTCAGTTACTCGGATGTGCGGCCAAACTAGTGACACTCGGATGTAAATAACAGTATGGTTTACGTGGTTTATCTACTACTGTATGTGTTATTCTGCCGATTTTTTATGCTGTATAAACAATGGAGAAGCAGGAACGAGTGGAATATATTGACAAATTGAGTTTAGGTGCTAAGGAATACATATAAGCAGATATTAGCTTAATATTTCAATTACTTGACCAGAAATGATAAGAACAGGCATGAGTGTTGTCAAGATTCTTGCCCTGGAAATCTTCTTCACTTTGGCCTACCACAAACATCTTTTATTCTAGTTTTTATTTTATTTTAGTTTAGTTTTTTTTTTTCTCATTGATTTGTTATAACATTTAGCAATACATAGTAGCACTTCACAACATGTTGTTCCAACATCGATATCGAAATATGATAATTTGAGGCCTGTGACTGTAGAAAAGCATTCAGGTACAATAAACCCAGCAGACACACAATGTCATAAGACGTAATATTAGGTTAGATTTAGTTCGTCAGCATCTAAGGACAACGTTATTTTGACGTCCAATAATGATGTGAAATAACGTTAATATTAGGTTGCGTTGGAATGTGACCAAAATCCAACGTCGAGCCAATATCTTAAACCAACGTCATATAGACGTCAAATACTGACATTTATTCATCAGGTATGGCAACCAAAATCCAACGTCTGATAGTAACATCCAATCACCGTCAAGTTGTAACATCATTAGGCGTTGATATTTGGCTGTTTTTAGGTTGTGTTGGAAAGGAACCAAAATGCATCATCTGTCCGACATTGGACATTGGCGTTGGCCTGATGTTAGGTTCTGACATCAACCTGATTTTCATTTCCAAACAAAATGCAATGTCCCATGACATTAGGGTACAACGTCAATCTGACATTATTTTAAAGTCCTGTGCCTGCTGGGATATGACACGTCTGTAACTTTAAAAAGGATTCATTTTTTGATTTATTTATACAACAAAGACTTTGCAGTATAATTTTACATTTGATTATTGAATTATTGTACATGAATACTGTTAGACTCCTCTGAAAACAATAGAAGTGTGTTAATTTTATTTGTATCTTTTCTTTATTGTATTAATCTTTGCTTGTAGTTTGTTTATTAGATTTTAAGCAGATGCACTGCCCTAAAGAGATTTGTTAATCAATTAAAAATGATGAGTTCTTCCAAATAAAAATATTTAGGTCATCTGGTGAAATTGTATCCATATCGCAATATTTGTCACAGAATATTGCAATTTTTCCAATATCGTGCAGCCCTAACAGATAGATAATAGATAGCACACAAATAACAAAAGTTGATCATTTTCAGCAGCAATAAAAAGCTAAATTTGTGAGTCAGTAGGCACCATGAGCTCAAAACGACATGCCAATACGATTTGATGTCAAAACCTTGACGTCTATTTGACATTCACTCCTTGATTCCCTTTTAACCCCCAAAATAACGACACAAAAAATATTATAATGTAATCTGAAAGCTTCAATTCTAAATTTACACTGGATTGTGTATCCTACAATGCATGTAAACTATCTTAATGTTTAAATGACATCAAATTGACATAAAATTGGCGTCAAAAAACATCAAAAATGGATTACTTTTTTTTACATTCTACAATCTACAGTGTTGCTGTTTGCCTTCCTTTCTAACAATGCCATAAATTTGACTGATTAATGAGTTAAGTGTAAACAACAAAGCCCAGAATGCTTACAATACGTGGACATGGCAACCCGGCATCATTTTTGAAAATGCTTCACCTGTCATTGAAAGTTCAGTTAGTCCTATAATATTAAATTAATCAAAACAAATGCCGGTACACTAGTTAACACTGGTTTATTTAATTTCATCTGAATAAGTTCTGTACAGTGGATATATATCTCTGCACAAGACGTTTGGCCAGCGGAGAAATTAAAATGGTCGTGCCGAACTAAGTCTGGTTCTCTCAAGGGTTTTTTTCTTCACTACCATCAGGTGAAGTTTTTTTTCCTCTCCGCTGTCGCCACTGGCTCGCTTGGTTCAGGATTGGTAGAGCTACGCATCGATGAATTTGCTCTTCAGTGTTTGAACTCTCAGTAATGATTAAATCACACTGAACTGAGCTAAACTGAACTGAACTGAACTTAAACACTAAAAACTGAACTACACTGTTCCAGTTACTATGACCATTTATGTGAAGCTGCTTTGACACAATCTACATTGTAAACGCGCTATACAAATAAAGCTGAATTGAATTGAATTGTTGTCTAGTTTCTTTTGTAATGTTTCTGTCTCAAAAAAGAAAAGTTTTTGCAACTTATTATCGCACAATGTTTTTCCTGCAGTTTATGTATTCCAATACAGACTTCTCTTAACTCTCAGAAATGTGTTTATATAAAAAGGCACAAACCCAAATCATGAACCCAAAATTACAAGAAAATTGATATAAAAAGTTGCATTTATCTTATTTATTTTATTCCATGCTGAAACAAGCATTCATAAAACACACTTTATTTCAAAAATTAAGTATAAACCCAACCCTCACCCCTTAAAAAACGTAAATACACATTTTTTGGTTGTACAGTTGCGTTAACCATATGTTGGAGCTTTTCTTTGAGCAACATATATAACTCCAGAATGATTTAAAATTAAAACACAAAGTTTATAAATATTGTGCTTGTTCACAATACAATATACACTTTGTGCAGTATAAAAATTATTACGTCTATGGAACATTCCCATAAAGATAGCAGTGCAAGTGTGTGTTTGTGTGTGTGCGTGGTTTTACTTGTTTATGTGGTATACAAGGACATTCATTCATTCATTCATTCACTTTTCGGCTTAGTCCCTTTATTAATCTAGGGTCCGCCATGGCGGAATGAACCGCCAATTTATCCAGCATATGTTTTATACAGCAGATGCCCTTTCAGCTGCAACCCATCACAGGGAAAAATTCATACACTCTTACACATACACTATGAACAATTTAGCTTCCCAATTCACCTGCATCACAAGTTTTTGGACTTGTGGGGGAAACCGGAGGGACCGGAGGAAACCCACGCGAACACGGGGAGAACATACAAACTCCTCACAGA